ACATCGCAAGATGGATTCCGATCGTCGAAGAAATCGCTTCTTCTTTAAAACGATCCAAAACTTAGGCTTTGCCCTTTAAAAAAGAGTCACTCGTGTTCTCGTTAACGACGCTCCCCTAGTCGTACCGTTTGTGATCACACGCGTACAAACGAAAGAGAGAATGGTCGAAGCGGGATAACGAGCAATCGCGAAATTACAAACAACGCTGGAATATGATAATTCGGTTGGCTGCCTTTGTTGTTCAGCTTCAGAAAGAAAATTGAAACGTTGAAGGCCGGCCGCGTAATTTTAATCAATTTCGATTATGACGAATCGCGCGAGACTCGCTGCGAGAAAGAGCCAGTTTCTTCAAAGACGTACCGTTTCTTCCGATGATTCTTCTATTCGAGAAACGTTCTCTTAGTAACAATCCCGTGAGGATAACAACTCCGCGTTTCGACACTAAGTTCGTATTGTGGCCAATCGAGCTACTTGCGGAGTCCGTACGAGAATTAAAGAGGTTGAAAAATGGAGCTACCGTGCAGTTATTCGAATATACAGGATAAACAAGTTGCCAAATTGAAAAGACGTGCGATTTAGTGAAGCAGCGTTCGACTTTTCCTTCTCGCGGGAATGTTTGTTTGCAAAACTTTCTAAAAATTTGATTCGAATTTAGAAGTTTAATAAAAAAATGATAAATTAGAAAGAAAGGAAAGGCACGTCGAAAAGAAAAGAAAGAGAACTGACTTTCAAGTCGCTCTTAAGAACCTTGAAACGGTATTTAACGATTCATCAACAATCCATGATCGTTTAATATTCGAAAAGGAACCGCATATTTTGATGCGATCTCCCTGTTTTCATCACGTTTACAAATTCCATTTGCCCACCACACTGGGGAATTTATAGTTACTGCCATGGCTCTATGGCTCTGCTTATGCCGCTACTTTTATTTTAATTAGCGCAGAGCACAATCGTTAGATCCTTCGCGTGGATAATAAGGATCGATAAGGTTTCGATCTGCACGATAATAAACGCGTCGGAGAGATATAACGCTTCTCAGGATTATTCAACGAGAGTCGTGTCGAGTTTGCGATCGAGTATAAGTGTCCTGGATAATTAAAAAATATCGTTGCTCGACGATACGACATCGCGATATGCACACCAGATACCATCTGGAAATAGATATCTTTATTTGGATATCGCGGAGTAGAAAGGAATAATAAATAAAAAAAAAAAAAAAATTACAAAAAGAGTTTACGATATTCTAACCCTGTAATATTTTTAACGCTCTATTTGTAGATTCGAGGACGTGATAGACGTATATATTACTCGATATTCTTTTGCAAGTTGTCTATTACAGGTTTCGATCAATTGATTTTTCCTTCCCTCCCCCTCCCCCCCCCCAACAGTGTCGAATTACCACCACTATCGGATAGCGCATAATTGATTTAGCTAAAAGCACGCTTTTAATTAACCGGCTCATTATCGAGAATTATCGATAGTCACGTTCGTTAAATTATCACTTTTATCGGCCCCCTCGTTCGCCGATTCTCGCCTCGTGCTTCGATTCCCGAGTCGTCGAGCGACTGGTGTTAAAAGAAAAAAAGAAATGGTCAACCATACCCTTCCTTTTCTCCCCCCGTTTATTTAAAGTATCGCATAGGAGAGTCGTTATTTTAATCCGAACTCGTTTCGTGAAAATGCCGAAAAGAGAGTGTTAAACGATCCCATCGATATTGGTCCATTTCGATTAACAAATCGAAAAAAAAAAAAAAAAGAAAAAAGAGAGCGTTAAAATGACGGTTTAATGCGTTGTCCACACCGTTTTTACAGTTGTCAAACTGTGTAAAAATTACTCCAAAGGAATTGCAAACATGTCTTTTCGACACGATTAGACGACTGGCTTTCGCGAAATCCAATCCACGATGAACCTCGGCCACCGATTAATCCAACTTTGAATTAATTTCATGTCCCCAAGTACGAATGACCCTGTTCGAAGCTCGTGAATAAGCTCGTCAGAAAACTTCCGATATTCCGGTTAAACGGTGAAATTAATCCGTAAAGCGGTCAATTTTGAAAAAAAAATGGGGAGAGAGAAAGGAAGAAAGGCTTATTTTTTACGAAGTTTCACGCGTTTTCCTCTATTTTTTTTCTTTTTTTTTCTAAATCGTTAAAAATTCACGAGGACATTTTTTTCATTATTTCGGTAAATATATATTTCTTCCTCTAAGAGGCAGATAATTGAAGATATCTTCGAATAAAGGGGATTGACTATTGTCGAACGAGGTAACACGATACAAAACGCTTCTTGCTTTCCTCATCGTCGCCTCGCTTAAGGTTGAAGTTCATGTTGCCCGGTTTGAAAAATGTTTTTCAAAGACATTGCTTCTTTAATCTTTCTTCCCCATTCATTCGGCTGATAAAATTGCGAATAAAATTTACACGGTATGTGAGAAACTTTGATATTTTCATACATATATATATATATTTTTTAAATTTTTCATGCGGATAACTGGAAAAAAAGATTTACTTTTACGGTACAAAGCGAAAAGTCAAGCGTGAAATTTCATTTCTGCTGGCGCTTAAAGAATTTGAAAAAAAAAAAAAATAACAGTTTCACAGCGTGAAACTCTTAACTTCAAAAAAAAAAAAAGGAAGAAGAAGAATGTTTTTATCTAAATTTAGTGCAGCGTTGTTGTTAACGCTGTTATTCTCATCTTTCTTTAAAAACTCGACAAACGGCCCCCTTTTACGAAACTCAATTACGCGTGTTGAAAATTTGAAAAGATCGATCGATTGATAACCGAGGAACACTTTCGTTACCATCAGGGATTATGCGTAAAAAATGGAAAAACAACAAACAACATTGGTATTCGATTTATGGGATTAAAAAAAACAAATCAAAAGAGGAATGCTCATTCATGTTTCGCGAATGAAAAAAATAATATATATATATATATATATATATATATAAATATTCAAGCACTTTATGAGAACGGAAGCTGCGCATTTTCGAACAACGAATGAAATGCCTTACCTTTTGCCGAATAAAATCGTTGCGTTTATGCGAAGAGAGCAAACGTATTCTTCTTTGCTATTCTTCCACGAGCATTTCAGACATGACACAAAGGATAAGTCTCTCTTTCTCTCTCGCTTATATCGCAAACTTTTTACATCGAGATAAGATCCGAATTTCCCAAGTAAGTACCATCGCATTCTTTCTCAAAGATATCGCGAAAACTTGCCCCTACTTTAATACCAAGCTTACTCGCGTAACGCGTAATTTTTCGCGTTTATACGTGAAATCTTTTCGTCGACAAGTAAAAAAAGCTGAACATATTTACTCGTTGTACAAAAAAAAAAAAAAAAAAGAAAAGAAAAAAAATAAAATACTGGCGCATATGGAGAGAAACGTAGTTGTGCAAATAATAATCAAACGGCTTGTTTAAAATATATACGTTGTATAGTGGAGATGTAGAAAAAGGAATGGAGCGTTTTCTTTTTTTTTTGTTTTTCTTCTTCTTTTTTGCTCGATCAAGCTTTACTCGCGAGGTTTTTACAAAGAACACGGGCGCTGCAAAACTCCTCCGGGCAATGAAAATTTTCCAGCCTTTTCCTCCTCCCGGTTTTCCCGCGGTAAAATCACGATGATGTAACGAGGAAATAATCGTACGTACGCGCGTAGAAAATTTACAACGCGCGATTGTTGTGCTTTTTAAAGGGGTGGAGGGAGGGGGAAGGGGTGAAAGGAGCGATTAACGTTTGCTTCCGTGGAATTCTTTGTTCATCGTCGTAATCGTTCTCGAAAGAGCGTGGCGTTATGGCGAAACGTGAAAAATAACCGTGGCGTTTAATTTCGTCGCAACGCGAAGCCAGTGAACGAATAAGGACGGAGCGGAGTGTGAACTTGAAAAAATTTCAAGGAAAAATTTAACTCCGTCCGATTACGATTATCTCGATTTCGCTGCTTCCGCTTCTCACGCATAGCTCTGATATTTTATAGAAGTTCATCGATTGTGCGTTTGTTTTTTTTTTTTTTCTTCTTTCAAAGAAGGGAAATCGACCTTTGGGTCGCTTAAAAATAATTCCCTTATTACATTTAATTACTTTACTCGCCTCCCACGTTTCCCTTCGTTGCAACTATTTCTTCGCGGCAAACATTTTTTTTTAACAAAAAGTTCGAGCGCTCGTCTAAATCTAAAATTAAATCATCCCTGTTCTAAAAAATCTGTTTGAAAAGAGATAAACGCAACTTCGATCGTAACATTCTCACAAACTATCCACTCGTTGCAAAACGGTTCGAATCGAGGATGGTCACCGAAGAGGGATTCGAAATTGTGGCGAGTTACGAGACGTGAGAAAATATAGTGGATGAAAAATTCATGGAATAGGAAAAAAATCGTGTCTCTTCTTCGGGAAGAAGGAAGAGGTATTAAACATTCTTTTTACGACCGACGTAAAAAGTAAAAGGGTTTCATCATCCCCCCTGGAACCCCTGAATTGGAAACTTCTCGCGGGAATGATTGTCGACCGAGAAAAAAATGAAGAACGAGGGTAAATCAATTAACCTATCACGGACGAGATAATTGCACGGGCAAACATTCCAATGTAACTCTAAACGGACGCCAGTTGAAACATTCCCTTAATATCATCCTCCATTCTAATATTCAAACCTGTCGCCTATTTATTTACCGCGAGAAATTGCCTCTCAAAAATTGAAAAGGAAAGGAAATTTTCTGTTTCAACAACAGGGGGGAATAAATTACACCGATCGCATCGATTTCCTTCAACAGGAGTTAATCTCCTTCGTAAATCATCGCTCCAAATATTTTAATCCAGCTGCGAGCAAAAGTCCACCACTCTTCTCCTCATTTTAGCCCTCCAATACCCAGTTTTTCACGAGGAAAATCCTTTCCCCACGTATAATTTCGTGCCCTTTAAGGATCGATCGTAGGAAGGAAAAGATCGAACAAGCAGAAGGATCGCTAAGGTCGAGCCCACAATCACGGGGCGTATCACCGAGAGCGTCTCCGATCTGCGCGTCGCGCTATTCGCTGGCCAGAGCTGCGGGGCGCGTTCAGTCTGCTCCAAGCCGCGAACGCGACAACTTGCGCCGCGACCCAACGCGAAAACAAACCGCGCTCCGTATTCTTGCTCTCTCTCTCTCCTCTTACGGGATTTCTAGAGGGATCGTAACGAGCCGATAAATCCATCTCGGGTAAATATATATTTTCTCGACGGCCGGCCTTTTCTCTCGACACGAGGCCGTCTCTCGTAAAGAGAAGAGGAGTGAATCGTCGTCGTTGCGTCGGAAAAAGCGTTTTAACATATGATACCAACGGGAAAGGAGGATACCTCGCGATCGTACTCTTTGGTGGACGTGAACACGTTACCACCGTATCTGTACACGGAGGTAAGTGGAAAAGTCGGATGGGGTAAGTTTGTTCTTCTTCTTGTTCGCATGCTTTCCTCTTCCTTTTCCTTTTCCTTCGAATTTCTCTTCTACATCGAATTAATATCGGTTTAGAAGGGATGTTTTATCGCAACGAACATTTCATTCGTTTCTTCCGGATATTTTAATCTGAGCTGGGGGTCGAAGAGAAGCTATTGCAACGTTAATTCGTCGCAACGCGAGGGTAGGGATTATTTCGAAACGCGGGGGTTGAAACGAAACAAGAGCGTAGTTTGGAAACTACGTAACTAACTCGATCGTTTCACGTATCGAATGAAAAGCTTGTATGTGGCGTAGAACGAAAGATCGATTGTGACAATAGCGACACTTGGTGTTGACTTACCGCGAGGATGTTATTGACACGGGAGAGAAACGGAAACGGAAAGGGGTGGTAAATAATTCAAACGAGGTTCGGTCTTTAAAACTCTATTATTATTATGATCGCTCGTTTCAACGGGGATAAAACAATTTTCGAACGACACTGGACGAGAACGGTGTTTACGGAAACAAGAAATACAAACGCTACAAACTGTGGAATTACGCGCGAAAGAAGAAACGGACGTCTTTTCGAAGACGTTTGTAAACAGAGGCGATACTTGGGCGTTGACCCTCGTTCTACGATGGAAAAACTCTCTGTTTTAATTAATTGTTAATCAACTTTCAAGTTGGCTCGTGTTTCTCAACTCGGTGGGATCGGGAGATTTTTCGCGGTTGGTTAATTTGGGCGCGCTTGTGGGTCAAGAACGCGAACGGGTTCCAGGCGAGAATTTTGTCACGATGTAATAAAAAAAAAAAGGAAATTTAAGGATAATTTTAATACGAGATAATGCAAATTTAATTCGTGGCGTCGCTTTCTGGGAAATTCTTCGTGCGTGGGGATATTCCTCTATAATTTTTTCCCCTAATTGGATTTAATTGCTAAGTGTGCGCGTGGCACACGGAGGAATAAAATTTCGATTATGAAACACCCTTTTAATCGTGCTTGCGCCGCAAGAAACGCGAGGATTTCAATAGATTTTTTTTTTTGTTCTCAAGAGTAGTCGCGTACAACATTTATCTGCACACGATTTCCTCATCAAACGCGTACTCGCGACTTTGTGCGTTTTAAAATACTTTTATCGAATGGTCATCGAATATATAGTATATATATATATATATATATATATATATTTTATATAATTCTTTTAATTCAAACGAGGTTCGGTCTTTAAAACTCTATTATTATTATGATCGCTCGTTTCAACGGGGATAAAACAATTTTCGAACGACACTGGACGAGAACGGTGTTTACGGAAACAAGAAATACAAACGCTACAAACTGTGGAATTACGCGCGAAAGAAGAAACGGACGTCTTTTCGAAGACGTTTGTAAACAGAGGCGATACTTGGGCGTTGACCCTCGTTCTACGATGGAAAAACTCTCTGTTTTAATTAATTGTTAATCAACTTTCAAGTTGGCTCGTGTTTCTCAACTCGGTGGGATCGGGAGATTTTTCGCGGTTGGTTAATTTGGGCGCGCTTGTGGGTCAAGAACGCGAACGGGTTCCAGGCGAGAATTTTGTCACGATGTAATAAAAAAAAAAAGGAAATTTAAGGATAATTTTAATACGAGATAATGCAAATTTAATTCGTGGCGTCGCTTTCTGGGAAATTCTTCGTGCGTGGGGATATTCCTCTATAATTTTTTCCCCTAATTGGATTTAATTGCTAAGTGTGCGCGTGGCACACGGAGGAATAAAATTTCGATTATGAAACACCCTTTTAATCGTGCTTGCGCCGCAAGAAACGCGAGGATTTCAATAGATTTTTTTTTTGTTCTCAAGAGTAGTCGCGTACAACATTTATCTGCACACGATTTCCTCATCAAACGCGTACTCGCGACTTTGTGCGTTTTAAAATACTTTTATCGAATGGTCATCGAATATATATATATATATATATATATATATATATATATTCTTTATATAAATTCTTTTTTTACAGAAATTTCCCTCTTGTATCGTTCGATCCAACTTCCCCTAAGGATGAAGTTCTATATGAATTCGTTTTCGAAGAATAACAAAAGTCTTCTTGGATTTCGAGGATGTGTTTCTTTTAAAATCTGATAATGAATTTCTTTAATGATAAAAATGTTCTCGTTAAACGTTTATCTCCGTTTGTTATTCTACACGAGAAGGACATTAATGGGGAAATAAAAGCAAAACAATTTAATTAATGCTACGATTAATTTACGAGTTTCTTCTCTAATGGAAATATAATAAACTATGATAAACGCGTATTATAATTTTTAAATAGAAAATATATTAATCGATATCTCTAAGGGAAAAAAATTCAGCGTCTTGGTTATTAAAAAAGTTGGTTTGCAATCGTCTTTATTGAATTTTGACGAGATGGGGGGTACGATCAAAATATCGATTTTCTTTTTCTCGATAAGAATGTTTATTAACGCGTTTCTTTCGTTTTATTTCGTCGTAAAGATGAGATGCAAAGCAACGAATCTAGGCATTCAACGTCCCTAGAGATACGCGTCAATGCCCCACGATACAAATTATACCAAAATTCCCTCGATTTTGTAACATAACGAGATTCACACACTCGTTTTCCTCCACTTTCGTGTTCAAATATTATCGCTCATAATATTTATCTTTCTATTTCTGGTAAATCAAAAATCGTGAAAATTCATTAATTTCGAGAATCCACGTATTCGTAATTTCAAAAGTTTTAATTCCGCGTATCATCTTTATTAATATAGAAAATAACACTTCGTTACTCGTACAATCACAATTTACTCCCCGTAGAAAATTAGTTCGTGAAATTTCGTATTATTCTTCGTGTTGATTATCGACTAAAAATAGTACAAGCAAAAAGAAGAAGAAGAAAAAAAAATAATTCGTACACATACATAATTAAGACTCTCTCGTATAAACCTTAATTACTCATTGCACATTATTCATCTTTTACGGGTAACAAGCACTCGTGAAACGCTCGGTTCTCGTTTCAACGATGCGAAATTTTTCATCTCTGCGTCAAGAATTTTTCATTGATCGTGAAAGGATGCGTATATTTTTACAACGCGTATATTTATTCGCCAATTCTAAATCTGAAACGAATCGAACAGTAAACCATTCCTTTCGATCCTCCCGCCTTCTTCCAACTTCCCTCCACCACGTACACCGTCTGACACGTGAAAGACTCGTACTACTGCGTCACAGTACGACACGCTTTTTCGATTTAAAGGTTCTATCGTGTCTGGCCAATCGTCCAATCGGTTGGATATAAAATAACTGCATTACGTTCTATTTTTGTTTCCACGATATCGATCGCGAATCGTTAATAAGCAAAATTGTACAGAGTCAGTCACGCGTTTACAAGCAGCGAATGGCGAATCGATGCACACGATGTTTTCGATATCCACCTCCCGTTTTCCAAGTTAACCGGCTTAAAATTCACGCCGGGCATTGAATATCGAATTTTAGCGAAGGAAGCTTGAAATTGCGCTTGAAACGTTTCGCACCCTCGATTGGCAAATTATCGTTCGGATACCATGTTTCATTTTATTATTTCTTTTTTTTTTTGTAATTTTATCTCGTTCGAGAAATAATGGGGATTCGTGGGGTGTTAAATAAAGTCTAAAAATTACGATGCTCTGCGATTAATCGTCGCGATTATCGCTCGCATTTTCCGCGCGAAGAGAGAAAATCTTCCCTCGAGGGGAGAGAACGTGGAATCTTGCGCACGAGCAAACTTAACCCGCATCCTCCGCGTAATTAGCAGCCGAGTAACGCTTCGCATTCCAAAACGCATCAATTCTCGCTCTATCTTTGGAAACTTTGATCCGAGCAAAATAACGTTCGAGCACGCTTTTCCTTCCACGTATAGATTTTCCGTGGCGGTTCGAAAAAGTGTGGATAGCGCTTTAAATGGACGAGGACCATGCTGATTAACGATATAAATACTTTCCACGAATAAGAAAAAATTCTCGACATATCTTGTTTCCTGAATTTATACGAGTCTTTCAAGTATTCTACTGCAATTCTATTGCAATTATCAATTTTGATACAATTTTGATGATACGAAACTGAAATTCTTTTCGAGAAAAATTCGTTACGTTTTATTTATAATGCATGGAACGAATTGTATGTAATATTATAAATCGATATCATAAATTCAAGGCAAATTTACCAATAGCTTTCGACAATTTAAACACGTTATAATATATATATATAAATAGTATCGAAATTCGGTAGCTCTAGTTATAAAGCAATCTGCATCTTTGCAATACCTTGATGTTGTCGAGGAATTCAACAGTTGCTACGTGCGTCTCGATAATTCCAGAACGTCTGGAAACATTATGCAAATTTAGCGGAATTAAGGACGAGTTTCAGCCGAGGTGACTACGTTCGTGCCCATCTCGTTCGAGATTATTATTAGCATAACTGGCTTTGTCAACGTATTATCATCAGAATTTTTACCCTCCTTCGTTGAATCCATTCATTTTCCACGAGTTTTCACTCGAATACCGGTTTTTGTAAATTATTTCAATTCTTAAGAAAGGATTAAACCCGCCTTTCCCCATATTGCTTTGCTTATTCCTCAACAAACGGCGGATACTATATTCAAGTGTAATTCCCCTGGATGAACCCACGATGAATTGGATTGAATGGCGGAATTATTTATTTATTAAATCGCGTGTAATACACGTGAAGAAAATAGTTGGATTAATGGAACCTCTCCTATGAATTTCCAACGATGTTAAATATCCGAATCCTACATTCTACTTGACTCCCGATGGAACAATGCAATTCGAACACATCGTGAATTTTTTATCCCGTATACACAAGGAATATTACGAATGCAAAATAAAGGGACGAACAACGGAGACGAGGATTAAGATTCTCGTTTCAACTTGGCCGATCTCGTTTCGCCCCATTTACCGATTTGCCCGTTTCTTCGAACAGATTGGATCTGGCATTCGAATCTTCGTTCTGGCATTCGCACGATGTCCGAGCAATGAGAGAAAGAAAGAAGAAAATCCCGGGGAATTTAATTCCTTGACTTTGTTAACCAAAAATTTTTGATGATATCCCTCGATCTTTTGATTTCGATAATTCTCTTAAGTAAAGAAAAACCAAAAAAGAATTATGAAATCCGGTAAATAACGATGAATAACGATGATTTGGATTTAAAAAAAAATCGATCGTTTGATAAAAACATATATATTTTATTTTTGAAAAGTTTTAAAATCGAAGAATTTCGTAAGAATTAAATGGAGTTTCGCGATACGCATCTTTTCATCTTTTCACTCGGAATTGAAACTGGCGGTGTAAAATTAACGAAATGCATTCCAGAGACTTTTTTAGGCGAGATATGCCGGTCATTCGTTTGAAAAGAGAGAATAGAATTGCATTCGGGCGTTTAACAGATGAACAACAGCTTCAAACTTCGAGCTCGATTGCACGTAACTTATCCTCGCGAATGCAACTATTTTCTCGATTGTCGCCAAGTGTATTCCATTTTGTCAGATAAATATCCGCGAATACTGTCATTCTGCTTTTTTTCTTCTTCTTTTTTTTTTTTTGTGTGTGTTTTCTTCCTTTCGAAAATTTCATTTCGACAACTTTCGTACCTTGTTCCCTTTATCTCATCGAATCGTGCGAAAATTAAAATCGTAGTTGTTAAAAAAAATACCGAACGAAATAAAACTGGGAATACAATTGGAAATAGAAATAAATGTCGGACAATAAAAGTGTTTCTTCTATTCAGATTTATATAAGTAATAGAAGCACAAAGGTGTTATCGAAATGTTATCGATTATAATCGTTTATTTCGAGGTTCAAAGGGGACTCTCCTTTTTTCTTTCTTTCTTTCTTTCTTTTTTTTTCTTTTTTGTTGTCGAGAATATGACATTCGGTTGATCGATCGCTCGTTAAAGCAATTAACGCTCAAATATCGCTCCCTCCATTCTCTCATAAATTCTTCTTTTTTTACATTATTGTCGGAAATTTCTTTTGAACGACCCACCGTCTGACGATACAGTTTCAATTCCATCCTTGGAAAATAACAGTTTCCCGAACTCTGTCCGGGAAACTTGGTTAATAACGTTGCTGCGCAACCCGAAACATGCCCACATTTGCACACAACTCGGCCACCAAGTTTTTCCTTCCCGCTAAAATTTCCAATCGACTCGAACCGCGAAATTTATATATCGAGAGCGAGAAGTTGAGAAAGCCCCCAGGCTCATTTCCATCAACCTATTCGAATAAATTTCCTAGAAGTAGTGGCCCCTTCGTCCTCATCTTCCATCTCTCGAACAATTTCCTAACTAACACCCCCCCTTTCGAACTACTAATCCACCTTTAACGATCGCTCCTCCAACAACATCCCCCCCATTCAATCCCCCTGAATGAGAATATCAATCGTCTCGATCAATGGAAATACAAGTTTGATCTTCGGTTGAACGATGAAGCTCCCCTCCTCTTCTATCCGGCAAATGAGAAATTTCTCGATAACGACGTTTACGATACTCGAGCCGCGATCGATCTTGAAAAAAGAGACGCGTCTTCTCGGATTTATCTTGTAACGAAGTCTCTCTCTCGAGAGAGAGAGATCGCTCCGGTGGATCGTCCTCTTATCTCCGGCTTTCGCGGCGAAACCAGGTGGAAAAATTCCCCGAGCGATCTCCTCGCCGATTCAGAAATTGAGAAGAATCGCGCGGTCGAAATTGGCCTTGATTCCGCCCCGTTAAACTCGTCGCCTTTTCTTCCTTCACTTGGAGACAAGTGAATTTTCGGGAAAAATGACGGAACGCGTCATTCCATCCATCGTGGATCGCAGGAAAGATGAACGAAGGATGATCGTTTTTAATTTCGACTAATTTTCTCTCGTGCAATAATATTTTTGAGAAAAGATGGATAAAGGGGAGATGAAAGAATGAGATGAAACTTAGTGACGAAAGATCTTGAAGTTAACTTTGAACTTAACTCAGCGAAACAATATTTATTTGCTGTTCGAAAGACTGTGCGACGATGTTTTAATTTCGAAAATTTCGTTATATTTCCAGTTTAATTAGCATCGATTTTTTGTTTACCATAAGGGAATTTCCAGAACGATTAATTTACAGATAGGATGTTAAATCTTCTAATTTCCAACGAAGAAGAAAGATATTTCACTGTAATCTTTAAAATTTTACGTTTTCAAGAAGAGGATCACTTTTCCATCCGAAAAGAAGGATGTTTCCTAGCTAAGGTGAAAAGGAGTGTGTTTACGTCGTCGATGTAATAAAACCTGCGTGCAAAGGTACAGATAAATTAAAGGAAAAACGATTGTCGGATTCTGAACGAAAGAGAAGGCTGATCAAATGCTCTGTACGCGTTAAAACAACGATCGCGTGTTCCTGCTATCTGACACGCGATTACATCGGAAAAAGCATTATATAAACGTGCCGTGATAACGTGCAGCAATAAAAGGGAAATAATAATAACGAGTTATCGAAACGATTAGCGATTGGAACGACTTTTGGTTAATTAATTTCCACTGTTACGCAAAAACTGTAACTGCATCGAGAGAGAAATTTCTGTCGATTGATTGTCCGCGTTTAACAGGTAAACGATTCGTGTCGTTCAACCGTAACACTTTCTGCGTACGTTTCATTCAGCGATCGAATCGCGACATTCCATTCTTCGCCCTCTTTCAAAGGAAGAGGAGAATATTTTCATCGCGGAACATTTCACTGGTGCAAATGAAATATGGAATCGCTCCAGTTTCCTCCTTCGATCCGTAATTATCCACCGACTTCGTAAACATGGGGACAATTAACGAACGATAAAACGATAGAATCAACGTGTGAATTGATTGATCGACGAGCGCAGTCGATTGCCATCCGCGTCGTTTGCGACGAGGAGAAAAGGATTCGTTATTCATTATTTCCATTATTTCTGTCATTAAATTTCGATCGAGCTTTATTAATTTTGAAATTTCACCTTTTCTTTTGGAGAAGATAGATGAAATTCTAGAGAGAAGCATTATGTTATTTTCGTTTTCATTCTGGAAAACAATTTCTCAAGAATAAACAGCTACACTTTTTATTTTTCCTCGTGATGATTAACAACACGAATTTGATTAATCGAAAACGACGTTCAATTTTATGAATGAATCGCGGCTAATAATTCGAGAACTCGTTCGACTCGACGCTGTCAATAAAGTGAACATCCTCGCTCGGTGGATTAAACCCCCTTTTGATTTAGTTAGCGTGAAACGAGATTGAAAAAGCGAGTGAGAATTAGATTGGCCGAGTAATGCGATGTAAAATGATGAAATAAATAATTTGAAATAATTATTATAAATATATAATATATATATATATATCCGCAATTTACGTTATATCGTGTAAATAAAAATCGTATTTAAAATTATGACACGCGAACGGAGGAAGATAACGATCAAGTTAAATTAATATTGTCGATTCGTGGCGATTAAGGAAGAATTACGAATCCATCCTTTATCGCGACAGACGTAACATTCGAGAAAAGTTACACAATTACGGGACTGAAGTCTCGTGCAATTTCCCTTCGATTCGTTAGACACTGCCGTTTCCCCTTGGAAGAGCAGCCCGTCGTCGCGAACATTAATTATCACCGACCGCGCATCCTCTGTCAAGCTTAATGTCGGCGTCCCAACTTATTGAATATCCGATGGCCGGCGCGGAATGCAATTTTCCCAGGGAAAAAAGGCGCCTCTTTCGCGTGTATCACTCGACATTCGTCCGCTCAAAGACGAACGAAAAGGAGCATATATGAAACGTTTTCCTCGCCTCGCCTGTTCGCTTATTATTCGCGAGAGAAATTGTGAAAAATGTGAGGAAAAAGTTTCTGAAATTTATTATCACTTTTCGCGGTTATTTATTAATTACATTACGATCCAATTTTATAATATAGTTATTACTTGTAATTTGTAATTTGTTACGTACGTTTCGCCTGTGATGATAGTTGAAAAGTTTGACAACATCGACAACATGCTTAAAAATACATAGAAGAGTTATCGCTCGATTATCGCCTTTGCTTCGTGATCGGACGGAATTGGAATTCGTTCGACGAAAAGGGGAACGAATCGATGAAAAGTAATAACGCGTGAATTCAATTACTCCGACGAAGGTTTCATTAAATAATGGGATTATTTCCACCGCCGTTGTTCAACGTTTACGAACGAAACGCGACTCGCATTGCTCCCGAAGATATCGTGAAAATGTTCGTCGCCTGATCAAGGAGGATCGAAAGCCGTCGGTGAGCTCGTCGACGCCTACCCCCGCCAGAGTATCTGGGTCATCTTTATAAAAGTCGTACGTTTATTACGTACCTGGCGTGTCCTCTGCCTCGCAAGAAATTGATTCCATACCGTTGATTATCTTTTCCTAGGCTAACCGTACACCTGAGGACAGCCTGGTGGTGTTTCATGCTCGTGGACATTTTGCATGCCGGCCGAGACATAAAAATATTTCGACGAAAAGAAGAAAATAAAGTAGTAAAACCGATTAGCTTCTTTCCTCGAGACCCGAAGGTCTCGTCAATCCATTGTTAACGATTTAATTAGAATTAGCAATCTCGTTGAAAGATATTCGATGGAATCGACGTTTAACCTTTGCACGATCGAGAAACCAACGAGTGTAATATATAATTAATATAAGGATTATAATTAATTTAACGACGTTTGCATTTTATTCAAGAAGGAATTTTTTTTCTCTTTCTTATTCGTCTTTCGTTCGTTATATGAGAAAAACGAGAGAAGGGTAATGAAAAGTTGTTTTCCAGGGATGAGAAAATGCCTCTGTGATGTTGCATCGGAGCACATCATCGCGACGCTGTAGGGCATCGCGGAACATGACGAACCTTGGCCACACCTCGCCGATCGCCGGGCCAAGAGGGCGCCGCGCCAGCGTGGCCACCGACAAACCTGTCGACCTGCCGCCGACCACTCTCAGGGGAACGATGGAGCGTCAACGCTCGCCACGGGGCAGCATCGTCCCCCCCGATATCGCTCTTGACATGGGAAACGGCGTCGAGGTTGTATTCCACGATCGATCCTTCTTAATTTCCCTCTCCTTGAATACTTATTCTTCCCAACCCGATGATGACATGCTCTCGAATATCTCCGAAATATCTCGCGAAACAAGTTTCCAGAAATCTTGCAAAACCTAAAAATTATTTCCAATTTCTTCTTGCGTTCCCATCTCCTCCTCTCCACCGAATGCAAGAGTTCGATACTCGAATTATCATCGGCACACATTCCCCGTTTCTCCAAAGTTTGCCCACATGCGTTTCAGGCCGTGGTCAACCACAAGCCGCTTCCGGACCAGTACGGCGACGCGAGGAGCCAGGCGGCGTTCAACCAGAAGATGGTTTCGCGAAGCCCGCGAAACTCGCTGGTCCCGGACGATTACTATCGAACCAGCCGCAACGGTGGCGTGTCGCGAAGCCCTCGCAACAGTTTGGTCCCGGACGCGAATCCCGACCTGCTCTACAGCTCGCGCCACTCGTTGCTCCCCGACCCTCCTCCTCTCAGCCCGCGAAACTCGTTGGTGGCGGATGGCGGGCACAACAGGAGCCCGAGGAACAGCCTGGTCCCGTTGACCGGGTCGAGGACGTCCCTCGTGTCCGAGAACGGGAACCTGGGATCTCGGGGAAGCCCCCGCCACTCTTTGATACCGAACTCGTCGAGGAGCCCGAGGGGGAGCGTGACGAACATGGAGCTGGTCGATCGAAGCCCCCAGAGAAGCCCGAGAGGGTCCATAGCGTCGGAGTGCTTGAACCAGAGCCCGAGGAGCTCGATTGTCCCGTACGAGAGATCGTCGCGGGGGAGCATCGGCGTGAACGAGGCGGCGGCGCACAGAGGATCGATCGGGGCCAAGGAGGAGGAGGAGGCGGCGAGGAGCCCGCGTCGCGGCATCGATCCCGAGCACGCGATCGACAGGACGCCGAGGGGGAGCCTGAGCGGGTTGCAGGAGAGGAGAGGCACAAAGGCGAGCCTGATAGCGCAGGATCCGAGGAGGGGTTCGGCCGATCAAGGTGAGAGTTGGGCTGGGATAGAGAGAATTTTTTAGGTTAATTAGGTTGAAGGATGAACGGAGGTTAGGTTTCGTTGTTGCTGCGTTGGAAGTAATTGAGGATCTGCAGAGTTGCCTCCTCGAAAGGCGAAACGTGATTCGATTATTCGTCCTTATAGGAATCTTATAGCTGCTCGATTTCGACCACGTTCACCTCGTTACCCGATCTAATTTGACGCGACGTCTCAAGGGGGATAAATTTCATAAATTCATAGAATTTCATAGAATTCATAGAAGCTATCGAATTGGATCGCTCGAACATTATATCGATATCGAATTATCAATAATTGTTAATTGTCGCGATTAATTTCTCTGTTTCGAACGGAAAATTATTTTTCCTTCGAAAGACTTCGAAGATTCGAGAAGCATCGGCTCGCAGGATCTCGTAATGAACCGAGTAATATCGGCTGATCATCCGATCTATTACGGGCGAGCGCAGCACGGATAACGATAGGAGCGAGTTAGCGTCAGTGGCTTCATCAGTTTTGACGCAACCGCATTAAGCTTTCCGAGCCAATCTCCCAAATGTGTACACACCGGCTCCATACAACTAGAGAACTGTTACACGGTTCGACTCGGAATACACGGTGTATAAATTGGGTGGGCCTAAAGCCATCGCACACCACCGTTATTCCTCTATGAATATTGTTAACAGGATGCATCTTAGTTACCATTGATATTGATATTTGCCTCGAATGAACGCGACACGAGTGTAACGCTCTCTTTCCTTTGATCGCAATACACGTCAGTATACACGTTAAAAAAAAAAATAAGTAAATAAATAAAGGAATAAATAAAAGTTTTAGAGTTAACTTTCCAAACACAAAGAGGGTGGGGATAGATAATCGCACGCCCACTCGATTCAATGAACGATGATCTCGGAAAAGGTTACGTTGAGTAAAAGTAGTTTACTTCAACGGGATATATCTTTGAAAAAAGTGATAAATCATCGACGCGTTAAGGATTTAAGCGGCTTTTTCTCCTCGGTAATCGACTCCTCCCCGTTTCCTGGATTGGAAACGCCGATTCTGGTAAAACGAGAGCCACGATTTAGGAAGGAAACGAAGCGACCAGATAACAGGGGAAAAATTAATAATTGGATTTTGTCGTGCCGAGGATAAAGTAGAATTTCGCTCGAAATTCTCGCTCGTGTTTCTCGAACTGTGTTATATCCGGTTTCCATTTACTCCCATGTATTTTATTACATCGATGCCGGGGGGGAAGATTCACGGATTGAAAATTCAAAACGCGTTGCTATCCGATTTGTCGGAAACTTCGTAGATTAAAAAATGGGAGGATACCGATATGAACGAAAATGATCTCGTCGTCAGTGGCTCTATTTATTTTTAGAATAGAAAAAAAAAAAAATTATTATTCCCAGCAATCAACGTATCGTTCACTGGAATGGAAAGAAGTCTCGCCTGGAAAGGAAATAGGTCTATTTTTTTCTGTTTCTACCATGATCGCGTGTATCAATCCAAAATTCGATGCATTGACGCAGAATCCAGGGCAGAGTTGGGCGGGCATTGACCCGTTGAAAGAGCAATTACATTCTCGAATAACGTTACTTTAAGTAATTACCAAATAACGTTTATCCCTAGCTGTGTATCGAAGTAAACTTTAACTGTTACATTTTGAACGATCCATCATTGGATTCCAGAGTATGCATGCTATCGATGTACAATTTTTTTTACTTCTTGTGATATACATGCAGGCTAATTACGGCTATGCAGCGATAATAATAATTGTACGTACACGAATAAGTTAGACATACATGTATATCGATATCTCTCTATATAAAATAATTGATAGTTATTTCAGTCTTGAATAATTATCCTAATACAACTTCAACAACAAATGAAAATAATTTTCACGATTTCGAAATTAATTCAAAAGTAGCGTCTGAAAGATAGGCGAAAGATCCGTCTCTCGAGGCTTTTTCCACCGGTGGACATGATATACATTTCATGATATTCAATGCAATGTTTGTGCAGGGGTGAACGGCAATCGAAATTCCTCCCCCTCTCGGGAGAGGAAGGAGGTGAACACGGGAAGTGTCAAATCCCGCGGAAGCACGGTCCAGATCAATTTAGGATATGGGCCAAACACCTTCGAGGATTCTAGACGGGCCAGCAGCTCCGTCTCCCAGGTATGACGCGTATTTCCCTTGTGTTCCTATCATATTTATATTATTTATTGCCCGAAAAAGAAAAAAAAATTCGAAAAAAAAAAAGGGAAAAATAAAGCGTTCTCTCCTCGTGCGAGATACTCTTGGAAGCATCCTCTTAGGAAAATTTCGTTGGACAAAGTGCAAGTGCAACACGGTTACAATTTCTCGAAAGCCTTCCTCGTAGTTTGCCAAAATATATTCTTCCGCGAAACAATTTTTAATGTCCACTAATATGAAATATCGTTGCACGAGCACAGAACGTTTCCAATTCCCAATGATTTCATTCCGCTTTTACTATAAAGTTTTTTTACTTTTATATTCGTGGTATAAAAGTATCAACGGCCAGGAGATACTGCTGTACGCCCAAATAAAGTATTCCACGCGCGCGCCACCATCCGAAAATCGTTTTTCTTTCTTTCTTTTTTTTTTTTTTTTTCCGTCATCCGGTTATTGAATTTCGTCAGGAAGAACGATGTGCATCGTTGGAGTTTTATCAGGGTAGCGTGCTACGATACGTACGGCAATATCAGGCGCGAGATACGACCGTATTTTTCATCGTGTTGCATATTTCGCGACCTTATGTCCCATCTTCTTGGCTGGAGAAAGTTTACGAACGATATAACGAACTGGCTCGTGTCGTGCGTGCGCGAGGCAGCTTCACAGAGGGGCAAAGAACAATCGAATCGTAAAAAGCTCACGTTGGATCTCGAAGCTACGAATTCGATCGTCCTGCATTATTCGAATAAGCGAGAAAGACTATTCCAGAAATCTTTCGCGATCCCTTTCTTTTCTCTCTTTGGATCAACCAGCCGGTTTTACCCGGAACTCTTTCAAATTTCAATCAACGCGAGTGGTGCGCCGTTTAAAGCACAAATTCGCCACGTTCTCCACCGTAATTTCGAAAGGGTTTTGCGGTTTATCCAGCGTCTAAGCTGGTCCGTGGTGTCTCGAAACCACGGAAAATCGACTCCCTCCCTGCTTTGACGACAAAGCAATATTGAAATTGAAGTGCGCTCCACTCGTGTTACGGGAGAGGTTAACCCGTTCGACGTTTCAGTTTTCAGGCGACGAGTCGCGGCGTCTTTTCGCCAACGGGGCCAAAGTGGCGGAGAACACGGCCGAGAGCAGGAATCTGGGCGTGATTACCTACGGTTCCGTGGTGTTCCAGTTGAAGGACGCGAATCTCGAGGCGAACAACATCTGCGACTTCGTGTTTCGGGGGATGAGGGTCGTGTGTAGAACAAGGGTCGTTACAGTGTGCCTGTTCTGCCTGTCCGCAGTCCCGATTCTCATGTTGATTTACGGTGAGCGAAGAAAATTACACCCGAGACACGTTGCTCGATGTAAATATTTTCCTTGGCATTCGACTTGCTTGAGCGAGCTGTTTCGGTTCGAATTACGTTCCCCTCCTGCAATTGGAAAAGGAAATTTTCGAAAAGGAAATTTCTCTGTGGAAAGCTCCGAGCAAGGATTGAATTGCGCGTAAAGAATATATGCCGAACACGCGGCGAGTTCCACGTTTCGAATCGATACTCGGCTTATAAGCGGTTATCAATAAATTAGTCGGAGCGAAACTTGGAGAAACCTGCCGTCATTCGTAACGTCATCATACGTTTGTTAACAACTCGTAATACCTTGACAGATATATTAAGAGTGTCGCAATACCGGGGCAAGTAACGAGTTTCTTCGACACACTTCGATGAACGAGGAAAATTTGTTTCGCCAAGAAAATCCATTTTTCCCTTCAACCTCTCGAACCGTCTTTTCATATCGCAAACTGAATCAACAAGAATAATATACAAATAGCGTGCACGAACGATCTCTTTTTTTTTACTTATTTTTCTTTCCTCTTCTACCTACAAAAATCTCTCGATTCGTAAACTGCTTTCACCGAAAGATGTATACAGAATATATACAGAACACATGGAATTTGCATATGATTCGACGTTAATGCAGTGGAAATGATGTGAAAGCAGAGCTTATTAACCTTGGTCGCATTAATTTCTAACGTAGGTCACGATGACCCTTTCAACGCGATCCGACCGCCGTTCTATTCTAGACTCAACACGATGAAAAATGAAACACCACGAAAATCCGTCGTGTTGAACTCTTTCTCTCGAGCCTACGTCGTCAGAATTAATCGTAACACGCGTGTAACAATTCCCTCCAATTTCGAGGAAACTGGGAATATTGGGCCAAAGGCGAGACACTCGATCGTGTGTGTGTGTGTGTGAGACTCGAACTCGAAGCGATCTGCCACGATTCTCCGCGAGATTGGTGAAACGCGGCCGTTGTTCCGTAAGCCGATCGAGTCTGTGCGACACGCGAAACGGCTCCCTCGCGGGTTTAACCAACGACGGTTTATTGCGGACGGTACGTTCACCTTTTCGCCAACGTTCCCCCAACGAATCGATAAAAACGACGCGGCTGGTAGAAAATTAGCGCGCGCGTGTGTGAACGTTTCCACCACGTAAGCGAAGATTTATAGCCGCGTTGCGGTAACCGAAAGTAAACCCCTTGCTTCTCTCGCGGATGATTCGTTGATCGATGATCTCGCGATTTTAACCAACAACTTTAGGAGAATTCTTTCCATCGTTGCGTATCGTACATTCTCAGGGATGAGAATTTTCTATCGAATCGACGCGTGTTGTACGATATATCGTACTTTCTTTATTATGTGTTTATTATCGTTATAATACTTGTTTATTCCCATAACGTTTCGCGATATGAAAATGCGTGAAAATCAAGATTGACAGAGTGGGACACGTTGCGTATTCGCATACAGGACAGGTGTGCCACGATTAACGAGCAATTAGTGATAAGATAGGGGGAGCAAGAATAAGAATGGGTGCAAGCATGATTGGCATGCAAGCCTGGCTAAGTATGGAAATAGAACGGTGAGTGAAAGTCAGGCAAGCTTCGTCGAAAACTTTTTAATATCGATCCATCCGTTGATTCGGATGGAATTCTGGCAGATTGCGTGGAAATGTCGTCGTCGAAATATTTCCTTTCCTTTCCGCAGGTTGGAACTACTCGAAAGACTGTCCAAAGGAGCCAAGGATACCCATGTACCTGGTGATCGGCGGAACATTCGGAACCATGCTCATGATGCTGCTCATCTACTCGCAGATACAGTCGAGGAGGCCGGAAATGCCCCCTGTTCCATCCAACAGGCCCCAAATTTCCTTCATGAAATTGATCATCATCGTGTTATCATGCTTCCTGCTCGGCTGGTTCGTGATGGGTGAGTCGTGGAAGAAGAAATTTTCTTCAACACGCCACTCGTGCATATACGTGCGGATATACGTACGTTTATCTGGAGCTATAGTGACGGGCAAAATTTAATAGTCCAAGTTACGAGTAAAGCTTTGCCTCGATGATTTATTATTATGTTGAAAAACGGTTAATAATAACGCGAAAATAATTGTATAATACGGCCGAGGTTGTACGAAAAGCGGATCAACTGTAACAATTAGAGAATAAATATTGTTCAAACGTGTTTTAATAAGCGATCGCTCGAAGTAACTTTATTCGAACTCTGTTCATGGGAATAGGAGGAATAGATCGATCACGTGACTCGACGCTTAATCGTCCCCGTGTTTTAATGCTTTTGTCGCGAGCCTCGACGTTTCAACGATTGGCACACCGCGTACGCGATTCGAAATAAAGAGAGAGAGAGAACGTTGAAAGCGATGGGAATACAATTTTTCGGGGATGATTCTGTTCGAGTGAATAAAAAAAAAAAAAAGAAAAGGGACGAACGTTAAAGAATGTTCGAGTGATAAAATGCTGATCCTCTCGGTGCCGGACATGGAGCGAGCGTTTTTCACTCGCGAAACGAAAGCGATCGATCGTGTTCCGCTACGGTAATTACCAGACACTGGTGCTGGTAAGCTGCTCCGATGTGTGTAACCTAATTTTCGTTCGTGATCGCGCCTAATTATAAACCTACCGTGTATATATATATATATATATATATATATGTACAAACGTAATTGCGTCCGTTTAAAAAAGCTGACGAGTCTTCCTTAACTTACTTTTTTTTTTTTTTTTCCGTTTCTCTTCACGCATTCGTACGCGAGAAATTGTTGGGTGACGAGACTCGTTCCTCGATTCAATATTCCATATTTTCCAAAATGCGTTTCTGTCGCAGGAAATTATTGGATACTTCACATCATGTGGCCATCGTACACGTTCTTGTTGCACACTCCGAACGACCACTGTCACAAAACGCTCTACCTGTTCTCCCTGGTGCATCTTGGCGTGATGTACATCACGTTCGGGATCATGCTGCTCGTGGTGACCGTGCTGGCGTCTTTCAGAATCCTAGCCTGCCCCTTATCGGAAAGGTAAGCCCGTCGATGGTCGTCGAATTCCTCTCGAATCCGACCTGATTCGCGGATAGGGAATAGGAGCGTGAAATCACGCGACTGCCGCGATTCCACGCGATTGTTAGCCAACGAGGCGTTAAACCGCCGCTTTCCATTGTGCACGTACGTTCGTGCGTTCGATCGGCAAACCGAAGCGAAATAGGAATTCCTTCCGCGCGTAAACCGCGCGAGAGAAAGGTGAAACATCGAAACATCGTGGAGAGGAAAAAAAGGAGAGAAGTTGTTCAAAGCAACGGATAGATAGATGGAATAACGATTCTGTTTTCCATAGGATTCGCTTGATAGAAGCGATGGAACCGAAAGTTCAAGGGTTACGAAGCTCCATCAATATTGATACTTGGATACGCTCTTTTGTTGCAGAGATTGTTCCTCGCGGCTTCCGCTCCAAATGTATAATAGAATTAAACGGAACGAAACGGAGACGGAGCGTGGTGCGCAGATTCATCGATCTATACAAAATTCTATTCGACCGATTCCCCTTCGATGTGACTATTACAACGAATAATTAACAGTTTACTCTCCCTCATCGACTGTCTCGATTTCTCTACAGACGAATATAGTACGGGATATCTTTTACTCCATCTTTCGATAATTCTTTTACCGATTAATGCAAGTCGGATTCAGCCTAACAAGAGACGCCTGTAATCGAGATACTCTTTTCGCGAAAAATGCAACCTCAGAAAAGTCATATCGCGAAAAATCAAGTCGCTTTCGACACTATTCGATAATCTGGATCGGATTCAACCCAGCAACAGACGTCGACGAACCGTTCTCGCGCGTGTAATCGAGGTATTCTAGATAATTGGGTCTTCATGAAAATCTTAAAAAAAATCGTATCGAGTCGCTCTCGATCAATGTGGATCGTATTCCAGCAAGAGACAAACCCTTCCCGCGCGTCTAATCGAGATATTCTAAGGTATTGGGTCTTTTCAGAAAAATCGTATCGCAAAAAATTAAGTCGCTTTCAACACTATTCGATTAATTTTGGATTGGATTCAGCCTAGCAACAGATGTTGACGAATTCTTATTCTAGAGAGTATTGGGTCTTTTCACGAAAAATGCAATCTTAAAAAAATCGTATCGAGTCGCTCTCGATCAATGTGAATCGTATTCTGACAAGAGACGAATCTTTGCCGCGTATGTAATCAAGGTATTCTAGAGTATTGGGTCTTTTCACGAAAAATGCAACCTTAAAAAAATCGTATCGAGTCGCTCTCGATCAATGTGAATCGTATTCTAACAAAAGACAAACCCTTCCCGCGCGTCTAATCGAGATATTCTAGGGTATTGGGTCTTTTCACGAAAAATGCAACCTCAGAAAAGTCATATCGCGAAAAGTCAAGTCGCTTTCGACACTATTCGATTAATTTAGATTGGATTCAGCCTAGCAACAGATGTCGACGAACCGTTCTCGCGCGTGTAATCGAGGTATTCCAGAGTATTGGATCTTCGTGAAAATCTTCAAGAAAAATCGCTTTCGATCAATGTGGATCGTGGATTCCAGCAAGAGACGAACCTTTGCCGCGCGTGTAATCGAGGTGTTCTAGGGTATTGGGTCAGAGCGTAGATCGGGCGAGGGTGTTCCGCATGCATGCGACGCGAAAGCCAAATATTCTATACCCGGGAAGCAATCAGCCGCTGCAGCGTACACGTGCACACGCTAACTGGATCTACGTGCAAAATAGTGGGTCAACGAATTTGGTCGCGTGTCGGCGCGGGTAAGGCTCGTTAAATACGAGGAGGCCACGGTGCAGAAAGCTCGCCGCGTCGATGAACCGACCGTTTTTCTACCGTTTTCGTTTGCGTTGCGAGGAGGTGGAAAACTCACCTCCTCCTCCTCCTCCCCCCCCCTTCGCTGCTTTTTTCCATCTGTTGTGTCTTCCTCGCGTTAAACGCCGGCTCGCGTGTCGGATGGAAAATCGATCGGGGAAAGAATTGCGCGACACGCATACCGAGTTAAACGATACGCGAGCTTGCTGACCGGGTCGCCGTTTCGAATCGATCTTAACGAGCGGTGATATATCGCGTTTCCGTTTCGCGAAGCGGAGCAGGAAAGCTGTTAGCGTTATATATAGTTGTAACTCGAGGGATTAGTCACTCGTTGCGATAAAATGGTTTCAAAATTCCCGATTTTTTCATTCCCGATTTTATTGGCTGATCTGTCTCGGTCTTGGTGATTCGAACGAAGCGAGGCGACGAAACAGCGATATTTCTTGGAAGAAAATAGAAAATTGGAAAGAAGAAACCATCGATCAAGGAGAATGGAGGTTTAGATAATCGTGTGAAATATTCAAGACCGTGAAGAGAAATATCGTCTCGTGAATGCCAACGCGTGCAAACGATTCGTGAAACGAATTACAACAGCGGTAAACTGCTACATCAACACTCCTACATAATTTTCTACATAAAATTTTAATATCTCTCGAACGTTCGATCATTCGTATCTCGGATTTGAGTAAAAACTTGCTGCGTTAACGCGAACGCGTTATAAGACGTGGAACACACGGCGCCATCGTTTCGATTCCACTTCGCTCGAGGAAGCTATGACACTCTACGAGGAAGAATATTTTCGTCGATGTTCGAAAATCTTGTCAAAAATTCCTTTTCAATCGCATTTTCGTTTTATTCGACGAATTACGTTAAATACGCAATGATCGACGTTTCCAATCATCGTGTTGGCTTCTTTTTCCAGATACAAATAACCACAGGAGTTGTTCACTCGCGTGAGAGAGGCGGTGGGCGAGAAAGGGCGGGCGGAGGATGGGCGGAGCGCGGTCCAAGGGCAACTTCTGAAGGGAGTCATAAAGCGGAGCGAGTATCGTGCGAAGCAACGAAACGACGAGATCGTTTCCAACGATCGGATCGCCAATCGTGAATCTAACCTGTCGAATCGCGATCTCGTGGCCAATGGAAAAGGGGTACACTTTCGATTGAACTTGGGCTGCGACGTCGATTCGGACGATGGCAACCGGCGATTCGTTACTTAGCGAAAATCTCGCGAGGATCGAAGTCGGCGTTGAAAAGGAGAGGAGGCGTAAAGGAGAAGAATCGCGTTACCTGGATTCGAGGAAAAAAAACCTTTGCGAAAAAAGATCGCTTCCCGACTTTCCATCCCAATTAATCCGTTCTTACCGATTTCAACCGTGATCAACCGTTAACGAAGACGAATGAATTTCGGGGAAAATTGAACGTTTCCAAGATGAAACGATTCCACGAAACGGAAGGGAATAAACGTGATATACGTTCCTAGCTAATTACACGTGGGTGCGTTCCATTACTCAGAATCCATGAGAATACCACTTCGTGGAAAACGGTCCATTGTTTATCGTGCTGGATCGCATTATTATTGCTGGATTTCCAAGTGTAAAACAATTTGCGGCGTTCGCAAATGATACGGGGGAAATGATGGAAACGAATTGAATTCGTTTTGAGAAACGAACGATCAAGAACGAAGGATAAACAAGGTCTCGAAGTATCGCGAGGCAGGCTGCCATTCGATTAAATCCGAAATTAATTCATCGAGAATCCATGGAGAACAACGTTCCTCTTCGAATCGCGAATATTTGGAAGAAAGGAGTCGGAGCAAAGAGGAAAACAGATCAAAAGATCCCGTATTTGCCTATACGTTAAAGATTACAGAAAAGTAAACCGGAGGAGATTTTTAACGTGGAGGATCTCGTCCAAAGAAATTCGAGTATCTCGAGAGAGAGGGGAAGCTCGATAAATCGTTCATTCGATAATATTTATCAAAGGGATCGAAGGTAAGCTTTTGTCTTTTCTTTTCTTTTCCTTCCTTCTTTTCTTTTTTTCAACACTTTCGAACGTCTCGAAAATTCACGCTCGATGATCCATTTGAATCAAGGAAGAGGATGTCGACTTTTTGTCCAAGTTCGTTTGACTGTAATATCGATTGGTTTTACCGTCACGTCGAAAATCCGTACAAACTTTTTCATACGTATTTTTCTTTTTTTTTCATCGACGATCATGAGACGTCCATTCACACCGTAGCTGAAACTATTAACAGTATCGCGTAACCGACTGAAATCCTGAATTCAACTTAATCGACACCAATTCTTTTTTATTTCATAAACTACGTTCAACCATTGTTTTCCGTAACGATCCGTTCTATTGAAACAGACTCTCGTGAATGAGCTTTTTTCGTTAAATATAGATTCGCAAGTACAAACGAAAAAAAAAAAAAAATCACGAGATGAATCGCGATGATTTGATTTGTGCCCGTTTTGTCCTTAAAATAGTGTTAAACAAAAATGACACGTGAACATTTTTATGTTCCGTTATTCGTTATTCGATGAAATGCGGAGCCGATATCGGATGATAAAAGCTTAAACGGAAACTGTAAATTATTTGAAAGGATAACGTATCGATGTCTGTCGTTCGTTGCACGAGGCCGCGTTGAAAATGCCCCCTCAAAACAGAGTCCAAAAACCGTGGTGCGTCCACGCGTGTCCGATAGATATCACCGTCGAATAAATGCCAAGAGTATCTCGAACTCTCGAAGAGGATAAAACGAATAAGTGTCAATTAAATCAACGCAATTTCGGAAATTTCGTTTCGTGAGATGACGGTCGGTGTACACGCGGTTTGATGTATACATAAAAGAAAAAAAAAAAAAAGAAAAAGAAAAAAACAACGTATATGTATATTCTGTATATGTACATATATAAATATCTGTAAACGTACGCTGTATCTGTATAATTAAAATTAACGAATCGACCAAAATAAGAAGAGGAAGAAGAAGAAGAGGAGGAGGAGGAGGAGGAGGAAAAGTACTGGAGTAGGTATTTAGAGAGAACACGAAACGTTTTCATACGTCTAGTTCCATCATCTAGATGAGTATTATAATTATAAGAGAATGGGTTCATTCGGAGTAACACGTTCCATGATCGCGTGGATTTGGAAAACGGGTCCATACTTGTAATCGTCCGTAAAAACCGAGTAAATGTTATCTAATCAATACTTTGTCGATGTAGAAGAAGAAGAAGAGAGAGGGAGAGAGAAAAAAAAATATGTACGCGAACCAAACCACTTCGTTAGACAATTGTATCCCTCTAAATCGCGATTTCGTCCTTTTCGCGATCGAGAAGGAGGCGAGCGATGAAATCGTTTGAAACCTCGTCTCGAGTCTGTGTAAATCTGTGTACGAAGGGAAGAAAGGTGTATCGTTATAGATATACAACACGTACACGCGGAAAAATATTTATTTGTGCCGTTAAAATGATATAATATCGGCGACCGCGCTCGTTCGAATTTACGACGAGAACGTGGATCATCTGTTAAATCGGTGACGGGGAGTAATCACGATTTCACCCGAAATTTTCCACCCCGAAACGGCTGAAATCAACTGGAAATTTCATTTCCCAACTGTCAAACGTGTTCGTGTACGTGTGTCGTGTTGCGATTTACGGGATGCAAAATTCTTCGCGATTTGCCTCCTCCGGCAAATCGACTCATTGTAGAAAGATCGCTCGAATTATAACCGAATTAAACGAACCAAAAAGAAAAAAATACGATTTTGAGAGAAATTTGAAAATTTTCTTTGATACTTTAGAATTTTCTCTAAAAAAAAAAAAAAGAAAAAAGAAAAACAAGAAATAGATAGGTCTAGAGTGTATATCGTCCGTGTGCAAACAACGAAGTACAAAGAAGGAACAACGGATCAATTAGAGGAAAAAAAAAAAAAAGTCGCGATAAGATCGAACTCGATGATGATACGTTTTTAGAAATTTAGAGGGACACGAACGAAAAAGGGACCTGAATATAAATGTGCGGTTACGTCTGAGATTTGTTACGCGACGAATTTCTTTCAGACGGATCTTTTTCCAAAAAAAAGAAAGAGAAATTTGGTCGAAATCTCTCCACGCGATGTTTATTATTATTATAGATTTCTTCGATTCTAATTTCGTTACTTATTCGCCCGCCGCGATAAAAATCACAGACGTAAGCGCATTCTTACCACATTCGAAATACTACACTTGAAATATTCGTATCGATAGCTTTCGTCGATAATAATTAATTCGTTCGTAATAATCATAAACCAACGAGTCAACGAAACGTACAATTCCAGTAATCACGGTGTGGTTAAATTAATTAGCTTGATAGTGTAGCACGAAAATGGTTTGCTCGTGCCGCTGTTCCACGACAATTCATACGCGAGCATAATCCGCAAGTGTCGATTATTTCGTTAATAGTGCGAATTCACACGGCCGTGCGAGCGAGTGTGTGTACAGATGCGTGAACGATGCGAACGCGCGAGTGTGTCGCAATTATCCAACTGAATTTGCTAGAATTTTATTATTTCCCGTTAACTCGGTCGGGCAATCGTGAAAACGTGTCTCTGTTTTTTCTCTCTTTCCTTTCCTTCCTTTCTTATTTCTTGTCAATGTCGATCGATGGAAAACGTGTTCGACGAACGAAAAAGAAAAAAAGAAAAAAAAGAAAATAAAATTCCTGATTTTGAAATCGCCGAAAGAAAAGCGGCGAATGGAATCATCGTTTCGGGGGGGAGGTGACAATATTCCACGGAAACGAAATACCAGTGGATAGGATGGAGAGATTTTTGAAAATATAATAAAACGAATATATCAAATTAATCGATCGAATTCGAGTTTCGCGTTTCCACGTTTCCACGATTCCCGATAGAATGGATGTAATATAGATTTATATATATATATATCTATATATGTATATATCTGTATATGTATCTGTCCTCGTATCGAGAAAGGGAAATCTGGTTACTTCGCATACCAACCATGGTTGGAATCGAGACGATTTCTCTTTCGCGATCTTCTCTTCTCTTTGATCGCAAGATAGCAATTAAGTAAGGTTAACGATTGTGTTGATCGCGTCTAACGTTAACGCGTCGTTGAATTTACATAGAATAGAGAGCTTATTTATTTTTATACTGGATCGTTTGATAGTCGTCCATCCATATGATACATTTAATTGAGCAACGGGGCGGACAGGTGTCCAAAAAAAAACTTGATTGTTGTCGCGCGTTTATCCCCGACTTTCACTGCAACCGCGATCATCTGCCGTACATCGATTGATTTTCAAACGACAGACACCACCCTCGTTATACCCCTTTGAATTAGATCATACAAATAGTATACCGACTAAATCCATAAACGCATTACGTAATTATAATTATGTGTATAACGTGTTTCTAAGAAATCGAATTTTAGAGGGATGGGTGATGATGTGCGTTTAGACGTGTCTCAAAAAGAAGGAAAAAAAAAATAATAATAATAATAATAATAATAATAATAATTAATTAACGATCAGTAGAAATTAGAGACGATTTGCACGCGCTTGTGTCGCGAAATCTGGTCCAGGCTTTAACGTAGAGTTCACCGTCGTTCGAACGGCTGTTTTCTTCCGGTAGCGGAAATAGCGGTGGAAACCGTTCAACCCCTTCAACGACCTCCGATTACCGTCGTCCACAAACATTCGACTCGCTTGTCTGATCGCATCACACCTCGTATCGCGACACTCCCTAAACTAATTTCCTGTTCCATCGATCTCCCATCCTCGAGGGAAAGGAAATGTTTCCACCGCTATTCACCGATCCATCGCTATCGCGTCATTACATTTTTCTACGCTGTTCGCGCTATCCCATCTAAGCCACGACGATCGTTGTGTCATCATCGTTTCGACGGATATATGTAGATATACCTTACGTACTTGGTCTGTACATATTTAGATAAGTTTGGAGAGATCGCATCGTGCGCGAAATTGACATCGAAAACACGGTACGATGGCTGTGCACGCCTGTTATCGTATTCCCCCAAAAATAGTCCCCCCCCCCCTTTGAACGGAACAGTTTCTTTCGCGGAGGACCATCATCGACAAAATTCTTTCTTCGTCCAATTTCACTCGTCCACGCATCGATTCCACGAAGAAAGGGGGAACGAGGAAAGGATGGAATCGACGACGCGGGGGATGGGATCAGCGTGGATCGAGCCGAAAAGGAGAATTCCGCGGATTTGTCGGAGACATCGCGGCCGCCATCCACGACGAGAAACTTTTCCAAAGGGTCCAATAAAGACGCGTTGTTGAGGGCCGCGTCTCTTCTCGCACGACACGCTCGAATCGGCGAGCGCCGACGAGAAAAAAATCGGCCAATCGATCAGGTATCGTCGGTTCGAACGTGAAGTAGGAGAGAGCCTATCTCGAAGAAGTGTCGAGAATTATTTTTTTATAGAAAACATGAGGAGAGAGATCTTCGATCGGCAACATCTTCGAATCGACGATACTCGATGACATTGCTTGTGAAATCGTTGAATCGAAACGGTGAATAACCGGTGTTCGCCGCTGATTTTTCCGCGCTGCGAACGGTGTATCTCTTTTTAACGTTGACGCGTCGTCGTTTCGATAGCAGAGATTGCGAGATGTGCATCGATTCGAGCGGAATAACGCTCTTTCGGAAAAGAGCCGTCTCTCCTCGCGCGAGTGTTGCGCGTGTCACGTGACGGATACGAGTATTGCCTTTTGTATCTAATGTCTCTCGCTACGAATACCGCTTTCTACCATCATACTTTACTTTACTTTACGCCACGTCTGAACGGAGTTTCATATTTTAACACACGTAACGTTAGACGATGAAAAATTGTCGCTTCGGTATATATATATAAAATATTGTATTAAATTATTTGGATATATTTCTTAAATGGGCAAAATTTTAACGGTTCGAGTTAACGATAAAAAATAAGTTACGTTGAATGATTTATCGATCAAAGTATTTTTAATTTATTAATTAAAACCGGGTTACGTATGATCGGATTGAATATAAAGTTATCGTTTAAAATAACCAACGTTTCTAATTAACAATTTCACCGGCGGGAAAAACCGGTATACAACCACGATTTAATGGAGACGTTCCGTCAATAAACGGCGGCGGCCGTTCAAAATAAATTGAACGTCGAATTGCGAACGCATTATCTCGACGTAGCCAGCAGCGAGGTTGAGCCCGGCTCGATGCAAGGTGAGCTTATCGCGAGCCTCGACGTGTTTCGTTAAATTAACCAGCCTCGGAACTCGGTCGTTCCTCTTCCATGGCCTATTACCCTGCCTCTCCATCCCCTTTTCTCGCAGCTGCTCGCTAATCAAACACGATACAATCTTTCCGTCGCATTCGTATTTACGTGACACGCGCCACCGCTATTCGTCCGCTCTGTTGTGTGTACGAAATAGATAAATTGGAAAAAGAAAAGAAAAGAAGAAGAAGAAAAAAAAAGAAACGCGTTCCATTCAACGAAGGTAACGAAGTGACCAACATCGACGATAGATCGATCCAGAATCGATTCGATTCGATGAAATTGTTCGAGGCTTTTAGAATTTTACTTTTTAAAAAATAAAATTCGAGACTCTATTTTTGAAACGACGCGACGATGAGCGATTCTCCGAAATATCTACGCGATTATCGAATCCAGTCGTGGCAGCTACGTGCGAGTACGAACAAGAGCGTAAAAATGATATCCATTCTCCTATGGTAGCGTCGAGAACTGTATGCGCGAGGAGAAAGAAATTGTTTAATCGATCACTTGCGACACATTTGCATCATCTGCGAGCGAAATAATTATAAGCCGATATGATGGACTA